GAGAGAGAGAGAGAGAGAGAGAGAGAGAGGAGAGAGAGAGAGAGAGAGGTGAGAGAGAGAGAGAGGGGAGAGAGAGAGAGAGAGAGAGAGGAGAGAGAGAGAGGAGAGAGAGAGAGGTGAGAGAGAGAGAGAGGAGAGAGAGAGAGAGGAGAGAGAGAGAGGAGAGAGAGAGAGATGGGGGAGGGCACATGCCATAGCATATGCAGAAGTCAGAGAACAACTCTGTGCAGCTGGTTCTCCCCTTCCACCTCTACATGGGTTCCAGAGATTGAACTCTGGTCGTCAGACTTGCATAGCAAGCTCCACCACCCACTGAGGCATCTCATCAGCCCTCATTTGCTTTTGGTGAGCAGATGTCGAGTATCTTTTCATGTATGTATTTGCAATCTCTCTCATCTTCTTGGAAAATTATCTGCTTAAACCTTTTGTCCATTTTTATTGGATTGTGTTTTCTTATGTTTTGAAAATCCTTTGAATATTTTGAATATAAGTGCTTTTTGGATATGAGATTTCCAGATGTTTTCTTCCAGCTTACATTTATTTTATCATTTTCTTAATAACTTATGGCAGTATAGTCTTTTTTATTTATCTTATATATATATATATATATGGGTATCTTGCCTGCATGTATGTCAGTGTACCATGTGATTGCAGTGCACAAGCAGACCAGAAAAGGGCAATGGGTCCCCCGAAACTGGAGTTACAGACAGTTGTGAGTCACCATGTGGGTGCTGGGAACTGAAGCCAGGTCCTCTGGAAGAGCAGCAGGTACCCTTAACTGCTGAGACTTCTCTCCAGTCCCAGTCATATGTTCTTGATGAACAATGTGAATTCTTGTTTTGAATGCAGTATGCCCAATTTAGGATGGTGGAGCAAGAAATATAAAATACACACACACACACACACACACACTATATATATATATATATATTTATATATGAATGTATATATATATTCATTCCCATGTGTTCAGTCTCCTTGATGTCTTTTATTTAAATTTGTTTTCAGTACTTCTGTTTCATATCAAATACTTGTCAAATAAATATTGTATGGTAACCCTACTTCTAGTTAATTAGAATAAAGAATGTGACAGAAATCCTATGCTCAACCCCCAAGTTTGCGGGATTCAGTATTCACTACCCACAGTGGAATAGGTTCTTATAGATACCACAGTCCACCCTTTGAATCTCCCAAAATGTAACCCAGAGCTCTGTGAGATAGGTGTTGTTGTTGTTCGGTGATCGTGGAAGATGGGGCAAAGGGTAAAAAGGTAGGAAATGCGGACTAAATCTGTTCTCAGCTGATGAGGTACAGCCAGGTTGGGAAGCGTACTGTACCATTGTGGAGCCCACTCGCCAATTGGTGTGCCCTGCTTTTCTAGCTACTAGTGGCTTCTGACAGGTTACATCAGTATTACAAAGAAACATTGTTTCTTTGGGCAATGCCCTAGATTGAGATTTTTTTAAAATATAATGTAGACATGACATAATCCCCACTCTAAAGCAAAGATGGCCGTTGCTCTTCACTTAACTGACGTAGTCTTTCCGAGGACGGCTGCCTGAGATAAGAGTGTGCTGCTGTGTTCTGGATGGCGCGCGCTGAGCACTCAGACACTAATCATTGTTGGCATCTACTTCCTTTTCAAGCTTCCTGAAAAGCTACTCTTTTCTCAAGGCTGTAACTGGATCCAGCAGTACAGTTTTGGACCTGAGAAGTATACAGGTTCCAATGTGTTTGGAAAGTTACGGAAATGCGTGGAGTTACTGAAAACGCAGGTGAGTACGTAGGAAAAATTATAGGATAAATGACTGGAGATGAAAGCTTCCATCTCAAAGGCAAGTCAGGCTCCCTGTATGTGGGGCAGAGCCTATGAGGGAGGGAAAGGAAACTGAGCTCAGGAGGCTTCCCGCTGGCGGTGGTGACTTGCTTTCTCTTGCTAAGTCAGAGTTAGTGTTATATGTAATGACGGCTTGACCTTTTGTGGGGTAGAAGCTTCAGGGGCTGCACTGGAGACCAGACAAATGAAGGGACTTTGTACAAAGTCTAGACCTCAGAAATGCCCTTCTGCAAGCATTCTGCTCACACAGCTATAGCGTGGGTGCAAAATGGCTTTCCAAGTCACAGCTTTCTTGTCTATGAAGAACTGTGAATAGTTTATCCCCTGCATAGTTATTGTGAGGGTGTGAGTTGACCCTCCGAATTTTGCAGAGTGAGCTTAGGCAGCTTCTCGGGCTGTTCTTCACTGGCATAGTCTCCGGGTGACCCTATGACCCCAAGCACTTTTAGAGAACGGACGTGTTTGATGGTTTACCTAGTAGTGGTATGTTTTGAGAAAAGCGATTTTATTTTGTTTCTTATTATAAAAGTAAGGTGCTTGTGTGTTAGTCTGGTAGCCCAGGCTTCTCTTACACCATAAACTGGGGGCTGAAACAACCAATGATTATTTCTTGCAGTTATGAAGATTGAAAGTCTGAGGCCAGGAGGCTAGGAAGAAGTGACATTTGGTGACAGCCCTCTTTCTAATGTATAGAGACAGGTGGACAATGTTTTGTTCATGCTTATTTTGATTTGCCATCACATGGCAGAAGGAGAGCCAAAAATGGCTTAGTTTCCTCTTAAAGGCACACCAGTCCCAGTCATGAGGACTCTAACCCACAGAGGCTAATCACCACGTAAGGGTCTCATCTCCTAAGGCTATCTCCCTGGACTAAGACATTCAACACATGAGTTTGGAGAGGCAGGTGAACATTCAGCCCACTGCGGCATCCTTGTGGTTAAAAAAAGAATCAAATAGTCCCAAAAGACAGATGTGAAAATATAAAATTCTGCCTTCCTCTGCCACCCTCCTGCCCTCCTCTCTGGCTTATCTCAGTAGTACTCTACAAATTGTGCGGTGGCTTGTACATCCGTGTTTGCCCTTCTCAGCTCCCACTTCCCCCTGTGTCTGCAGTGGACCGAGTTTAGTGGGATGAGAGATTATCACAAGAGAGGGAGCATGTGCAACATCCTCTTCTCCGACGCCATCCTGGAGTATAAACTCTACGAGGCTGTGAAGTTCATCATGCTCTACCAGGTCACGGAAGTGTACGAGCAAATGAAGACGAACAAGATAATCCCCGGCCTTTTCCGACTCCTGTTTTCCAGGGAGTCCTCCTCGGACCCTTTGAGCTTCATGATGAATCACCTGAATCCCATGGGGGACACCTGTGGACTGGAGCAGGTGAGTGGGGCTCCCAGTGTGATCCACGGATGACTCAGGAATCCTCGTGGGCCTTTAGAGTTTCTGTTTAGCAGTAAGGAAACCACCTCCACAGAGGTGGCCGGCTGGGGTTATTGGCTTCACATGTGTGAAAGAAGAATCATGGGCCTCGTGGCTGGCTGGTGTGTGCTGTGAGTCCAGGGACCCCTTGGACCAGAGAGGGCTGGTTCATAGCGCCTCGTGACCACACAGACACTAACTGGGAAAAGGCCACTCAGAAAGCACGGTCATCATGAGGAAGCATTCGGTTCCCTGTCACAGACAAGAGTTAGTAGCAACTGTAAGGTCAGAGAAAGCCCCTCACCATGACTGAGGTCTTTTCTTCACTTGTTTTCTGTCTCAAAGAAGCGATGAGATGCATGGCATCTTCACTAAGACATCAAATTGGTTAGAAAGCAATGCAATTCTTAGTAACGAGTACCCTCCCTTCCCCTCCCCTTCTCTCCCTTCCCCTCCCTTTTCTCCTTTTCCTATTCACTTCCTTTCCACCTTCCCCTCCCCTCCCCTCCCCTCCCCTCCCCTCTCCTCTCCTCTCCTTTCCCTTCCTTTCCCCCTGTGAGGTAAGGTCTCATCTGTAGCCCAGGCTGGTCTGGAACTCGCTGTAGAGCCTAGACTGGCCTCCAGCTCAAGTCAGTCCTCCTGCCCCTCCCCCAAAGTGCTGGCGTTGAAGCTGTGAGCCACTACTTTGGCTTGAACTTTCTTTTCTCTTTCTGAATAGTTTCTCCTGATTTCCTCTCGCTGAGCATGGTCCTGCCCTCCTTCCACACTACAGGCATTTGTCCTTAAATCATGCCTACTTGCTCTAGGGGTAACTCTGTTACAAAGTGGGTCGTCTCATAAACCGCAGCCGGCCTCGTCTTGGTGGAAGTGTATAAACACAATCTGTGACCTCGCTCTCATCTTGTCCCCAGATTGACATGTTTATACTCGGGTATTCCCTCCAAGTAAAGATAAAAGTGTTCCGACTGTTCAAGTTTAACTCCAGAGACTTCACAGTCTACTACCCTGAGGACCCTGTGAGGGAGTGGCCAGAGATCGCGCTGCTGACCGAGAATGACCGCCAGTACCACATTCCCGTCTTTTAAGTCCCCGATGGACTGAACATTGGCTTTTCTCAGTGACAGCGGTCATACTTGCAAGAGAAATATTTCTGAAAAGCCCATGGTACCGTTTTAGCCAAGGAGGGCACTAAGACCTACGGGAAAACTGGGTGGGGAGAGCCACTGATTTCCTCCACCGCCACACACATTTGGGGTTTGGCATGTTGGAAGAGATCTGCTGGGTTCACACCGTGATGTGCCTTCAAGACATAGAGAGACTTCATGTGGACAAAAAGACAAGGGAAATGGCTGACCTCAGCCGCAGGAACTTTTCATCTCTGACCTTTGTGTTCTTTATCAAGAGGGATCTCTCTGGGGATTCGGGACGATCATAAATAAACATGTTTTATAAGCATTACCTTCCTGGGATTCTTTGTTGTTTACTAATTTTGTAGAACCACCTGATTAATGTTAAAACATTGTCTGTGCAAGAAAACCCACAGAACCAAGTAACCTGGCTTCATGCGAGCTCACAGAGACTGAGCCGACAACCAGGGAGCCTACATGGGACTGACCTAGGCACTCTGCATAAATGTTACAAATGTTTAACTTGGTCCTCTTATGGTGTAATGGTCTGTCCTGTCTCTTTAAGAGACATGTGCCACCCACCCACCCCTTGTCGGCCATCCACCTCCGAGGCAGGCAGACCTTCCTTCTGCTTCTGGCCTGAGTTCTTTCCCTTTCTGTCTCTCTCCCAAAGAGGTAGCTGCCATGGCTCCTCTCCCCAAAACTCTCTCTCTCTCTCTCTCTCTCTCTCTCTCTCTCTCTCTCTCTCTCTCTCTCTCTCTCTCTCTCTATCTGCTCTTACCCTTCTCCCCTTTCCCCTCCAACCTCACTCTGCATGGCATGGTGTGCCTGTGCGTCTCTGTCTCTCACCTGCCATGTGGTCTTAGGATCTGCTGCCTGCTGCCACTAGGGGACCTTCAGTACGGTCTCATGGCCCACTGCCGCCACTCAGGGACCTGCAGCATTTCTGCCGCTGCGCCCCTCGGGGGAACAGCAGCATTTTACTCAAATATATGGGACTCCTAACAGTGGGAGCAGGGGCTATCTCTGGTTCTGTGGCTTGCTTTTGGGACCCTTTTCTCCCACTGGGTTGCCTCATCCAGTCTTAATAGAAGAGGAGGTGTCTCCTGCAACTTGATATACCATGGCTGCCTGACATCCATGGGAGGCCTGCCCCCATCTGGAGAGGAAGAGGGAAAGGGAGGTAGGACTGAGATGAGAGGAGGGAGGGGAAGCTTTGGTGGGGATATAAAAGCAAAATATTGAACTAAAATACTGTGTGCATTTATGTACATGTATGTTTACATATACACACACAAATAAATGTATATACACAAACAGCCACTTGTTTGTAATATTGTACAGTTTCTTTATATCTTTGCCTTTTGTGGGGAGACTGTTGAGCCTGGCCAGCTTATGTCATGTATTTAAATAAAAGAAGATAAATTCTATGGATTCGGACAACTGTATGATAATTTTGAACTGTCATAAAAACATTAAGCTCTGTTTTATTTAGTCTTTACATTTCCATTTAATGAGTGGAATCTTGTGATTGAGTAACATCCCAGGTGCACGAGGGCTCAGTGTCATCCCAGAATCCCTGAAGACTTTGGTTCAATGGCAAAATCGAATTCAAGTGCAGGGAGGACTAATGGATCCGTACTCTGACCTTGCACCCTGACTCTCCAGGTGGCCTGGATGTGATTGGCAGGTGGAGAGGAGATGAGAGTTCCTGCTTCAGAGGACACTGTAAGCTATGAGTAGCTTTGAAGATAGAGGACGAGGCCACGGGCAATGCATGCTGGGATCTCTAGGAACTACAAAAAAGCAGAATCAGACCCTCCTCTCCAGCCCCAGAAGAGACATGGCCGTGCCAACACCTTGCTTTTGGCTTGCTGCTGTCAGTCAGACCTCCAGCCTCTAACCCTGTAGGATAATGGATCTGAATTAAGCCTATTTTTGTTGTGTTGCATGGGTGGGGGGCAGGGTCTCTTAATGTATCCCTGGGTGGCTTGGAACTCACAGAGATCTGTCTGCCTCTGCCTTCTGAGTGCTGGGATTAAACGTGTGTGCTACAATACCACACCTGCCTTAGTTAGGGTTTCTATTGCTGTGAAGAGACACCATGGCCATAGCAGCTCTTATAAAGGAAAACATTTAACTGAGGCTTTCTTACAGTTCAGAGGTTTAGTTCATTATCATCATGGCGGCACATGGTGGTATTCAGGCAGACACGGTGCTGGAGAAGGAGCTGAGAGTTCTCTATCTTGATCCGTAGGCAGCAAGAGAGTGTGTGCCATATTGGGTGTAGCTTGAGCATTTGAGATTTCAAAGCTTGTCCCTACAGTAGCACACTTCCTCCAACAAGGCCTCATCTACTCCAACAAGGCCACACTCCTAATAGTGCAACTCCCTATGGGCCAAGCATTCAAACACATGAGTCTATGGGAGTCCTTCCTATTCAAACCACCACATTTCCCTCCCTGGCTGCTGTTGTGGAATATTATTTTAAGATGTGTTACATTTATTTATGCTGGTGGGACATTTGTTTAATGATGCAAAGATGTGCTGCATTCTTTTTTATTTCTTTTTGCTGAATAGCATAACTTATTTGTTTATTTTTGGTTTTTCAAGACAAAGTTTCTCAGTAGCTTTGGAGCCTGTCCTGGACCTAGCTCTTGTAAACCAGGCTGGCCTTGAACTCACATTGATCCCCCCCCCCCCAAGCGCTGGAATTAAAGGTGTCCCGACTGTTTTGCATTCTTTTATATTGCATTTGTTTAGCTCTATGAAGCTGTGTTACTTTGCCTGTCTAAGACACCTGGTGGTCTAGTAAAGAGCTGACCAGTCCATAGCAAGACAGGAGAAATGAAGGATGAGGCTAGCAGGCAGAGGAAATAAATAGGAGAAAAAGAGGGAAGAGGAAGTAAGAGAGATCAAGGAATGAGAAAAGAAGAAGCCAGCCACAAAGCCAGCCATGGAGTAAGAGTGAAAGTAAGACATACAGAAGTAAGAAAAGGAAGAAGCCTTGAACTCAGATCTAACTGCCTCTGCCTCTGAAGGGCTGGAATTAAAGGCATGCACTACCACACCTGGTTCTGAGCTTTTCTTTAATTCTTTTCAAAAGTTGGATTTTGTCCTGAGGTCTCCATTTCCTTTATTCCTTTTTAAGAGGGGCTTCTCTTTCATCTCTTTATCTCTCAGAACACAGGATTTGGCTCCATTCCACTTCCCAGTGCCCTCTTTCTCCTTGAACTGTGCCTTTTGCATTTCTCAACTCAATTTGCTCCTTTTCTTTATAAATCTGTATAAGCGTGAGCACTAATAACCACATAACAAAGTCAATATTATACTATTTAGAAATTTCCTCTGCCAACTGAATTAATCCAAAACTCTTTGATTTAGCCTCTGGCAGATTTTTTTTTTCAGACAAGGGCTTTAAGCAGCCACATTCTTTACCAAAATATCACAAGAATAGTCTCTAGGCCACTTGTCTTCTGAAACCTCTTGAGTCAGATCCCCAGGTCCCCATGTTTCAAGTCACTCTCAGCATTACTGTCTTCCCTATTCCTTCTAGGATGACCCATTAAGCCCCATTTAAGGGGTTAAATGCTTTTCTAATCCAAACTTCCAAGTCCACATTTCTCCAAACAAAAGCATGGTCAGACCTATCACAGCAATACCCAAGTCCCTGGCACAGACTTCTGTCTTTAGGTATTATTGCTGTGAAGAGACACCACAATTGAAGCAACTCTTATAAAGGAAATATTTAATTGGGACTGGCTTATAGTTTCAGAGGTTTAGTTCAATATCATCATGGTAGGAAACATGGTGTCATTCACGCAGATGTGGTACTGGAGAAAGAGCTGAGAGTTCTACATCTTGATCTACAGGTAGCAGGAAGAGAACTGATTGAGACTTCAAAGCCCACCTCCACAGTGACACACTTCCCCAGCAAGGCCATACCTACTCCAACAAGGTCACAGCTCCTAATAGTGTCACTCCCTACGGGCTAAGCATTCAAACACATGAGTCTATGAGGGTCATACCTATTCAAACCATCTCAGAGGCAGATGATCATAAACACTAAGTTAGGTTTCTGAAGATTATCTTGTCCACTTCTCTACCTAACTACATAGATGGGATTGTGAAGGTCAGAGACATTACATAATTTCACACAATTTTCTTCTCTTTATGGAACTTTAATATACAATGTCTTTCTTCCTTTCTTAAGATTTTCTTTGTTGTGTGTGTGTGTGTGTGTGTGTGTGTGTATACATGCATACAAGGTGCCAGTGGCAACCAGAAAAGGGCATTAGATACTCTGGAACAAGTGTTATAGGCTCACAACAGTGAGCTGCTCATTTTAGGTGGTGGGAAATTATCTTAAGTTCTATGCAAGAGTAGTAAGCTCAGAGAACACATTTAACTGTTGAGGTATCTCACCATCTGCCTTATATACAATTTCTCATTTTGAAGTGGTAAATATTGCAGAATTACAAAGAGTATTAAATGGGGGTGGAATTAGCATACCTTTTAATTTTTGTGGCTAGGAATGATCATAGAGAATTATGTGTAGATAAGAATCTACAGTTTGGTTGCTAAAGTTCCTCATGGGTCCAAATTCTAGAGGATAAAAAATTAGATGTACAACTAGCAGTCTTCTTCATGTCCTGTAGAAACTAGTCCATCTCTTGGGAATTTGCATCAATCTAAACCATGCTCAAGAATCTCATTTTGACTCTAAAGGTTTCAGTTGAATCAACCTTGATCCTTGAGTAGATCCACGACACTTGTCTGGGCTTCTACTGTCACAGATGATTTCCTAAATAAAATAAATTGCCTGATGACTTTGTCAATAATTGAGTAATAAAAACACTTCATTGATCATAAGTGATATGAGTTATTTCATAAGTTATCTATTTTTTTTATCACATGTATGCAATAATTCACCAAGTTTTGGATGAGAAAACAATCCTAATAGAGGCAATGAGTCAGTTACATATGTTTGTTAAACACATACACAAATGAGGTAATATTGCAGATACTGTGTTTCCTATGCAGGTGCTCACAAAATGTACGTAATAAGTCAATCATGACTACTGTGAATATGGAAGTGTTAACAAGAACAAAACTATAATAGAATTATCACTTCTAGAAAACTTTGCCAGTCTTTGGTTAGCCATTCACTTGCTTGTTCCAAGAACATGGCGGGTGTTGGGGACCTGTCCGCGGTGCTGAAAGTGGTAAGACACAGATGTTCAAGGATGCTCTAAACCTATGGTACTTGTTTTCTTCTAGGCTTCTGTTTGCGGTGACAGTAGTACAGATACAAATTATTATCTTCTTGAT